CTCACCCTGCCCTCTTGGCAAGCCGTGATTCCTGTAGCATGATGCCAGACATGGCCTGCATGCGTGTTGCACTGAGTCAGACCTGAAAATCTAGTGGCTTATTTTAATGACTGCCTTATTTTAAGACCAAAAAAACTAGAAATTATAAAAGTGGTATGATTGACCATTAAAAATTGTAAACTTAGGAATTAAGATACTACATATATATTCAGAAGGAAATTTAGGAAAGATTTGCAGATCAGATGGCAGGTAAAGAGTTGTTAATATCTATCCTATGAAAATATCTCTTACCTGTTAGTAGAAAAAACTTAAATAGTGGAACAGGAAAAAAAAGGACAAATAGTAAGAATAGTCATTGACAGAAAAGCAAAACCACATGGCAAATGGAAAATGAAAAGATGCTCAACTGTGTTAGAAATCAAGGATTATACTACAACATCACATCCCATGTCAGGGTAACATGGAGTTACCCTTGTGGGAGTAACTCCATAGAAGTTTGGTGGAGGGACAGGGTAATATTTACTAAAAGCAAAAAATTCCCCTACCCTAACCTATCTAATTTTCTGGAACTGTCTCACAATAATACAATCATATTATAGGATAGCTGTATAAAGATGTTTATTGAACTTTATTAGTGACAACAGTGTGAATGCCCAATGATGGGTAATGGATGAATAAAGGATGACATATCCATTTCATATACTATTAGTGGCCTTTAACAATTACTTCTGTTTGTACCAGTTGACTTGGTACTGTTTGTTTTAAAGTATTGGCATGGTATATGTGGAAAAGGAGACTTATATTGGGTTGATAATATAAATTCCTTTTGATGGGCCAGTTGGGCAGCTGATAGGGTAGATGAAAAATGAGATGGAACAATGACACTAAGTTAGTATACAGTTCCATTTATATAAATTTTATATGGGTATACACATAAAGCAGTGTGGTGTGATCAAAATGTTAAATGGTTATCTGAAAGCACTTGGTTTGAGGTAATTTTTGATGTTCTGTATACTTTGTATACTTTTGTGCATTTAAAAATATACCTATAAGAGCACCTAGGTGACTCAGACAGTTTAGCCGACTCTTGATTTCGGCTCAGGTCATGATCACAGTTTGGTTCTTGAGCTTGAGCCCCACTTCAGGCTCTGTGCTGATGGTGTGGAGCCTGCTTGGCATTCTCCCCACCACCCCCCACTCTCTTCCCCTCCGCTGCACTCACACACTCGCTCTCTCTCTTCTAAATAAATAAATAAACTTAAAAAAATATACTTGTATTTATAGATTATATATTTAGACATCATATAATTTATATGATATATATAAATATTTATAAACATGTAAAATAGTTGTTGGCAAGGACGTGGAGAAAGGGGAACCCTCATGCACTACTGGCGGGAATGCAAACTGGTGCAGCCACTCTAAAAATCAGTGTGGAGGTTCCTCAAAAAATTAAAAATAGAACTACCCTACAACCCAGCAGTTGCATTACTGGTATTTATCCAGAGGTTATAGGAGTGCTGATTCAATGCGGCACATGTACACCAATGTTTATAGCAGCACTATCAACAATAGCCAAATTACAGAAAGAGCCCAAATGTCCCATCGACTGATGAATTGATAAAGAAGATGTGGTATATATATATACAATTGAAAAAACTGAAATCTTGCCATTTGTAACAACATGCATGGGACTAGGGTGTCTTATGGTAGGTGAAACAAGTCAAAGAAGGACAAATAGATGATTTCAGTCATGTGGAACTTAACAAACACAACAGGTGAACATAGGGGAAAGGAAAGGAAAATAAGATAAAAACAGAGAGGGAGGCAAACCATAAGAGACTCTTAAAGACAGAACAAACGGGCGCCTGGGTGGCTCGGTTGAGCATCCAACTTCAGCTCAGGTTATGATCTCACAGATCATGGGTTCGAGCCCTGTGTCGGGCTCTGTGCTGACAGCTAGCTCAGAGCCTGGAGCCTGTTTCAGATTCTGTGTCTCCCTCTCTCTGACAACCCTGCCCCCCCTACCCCCCCGCTCACGCTGTCTCTCTCTCTCAGAAATAAATAAAAAACATTAAAAAATTTAAAAAAAACAAACAAACTGAGGGTTGCTGGAGAGGAGGTGGGGGGGTGGGATAATTGGGGGATGAGTGTTAAGGAGGGCACTTGGGTGAGTGCTTGGTGTTATATGTAAGTGATGAATCACTAGATTCTTCTCCTGAAATGAATACTACACTGTATGTTAACTAACTTGAATTTAAATAAATAAATATTTAAAATGATGAAATTAATTTTAAGTAAACATGTACTTAGGGTTGCCTAGTGGCTCAGTTGGTTAAGCATCCGACTTCAGGTTAGATCATGATCTCATGGTTTATGAATTCGAGCCCCATTTTGGGCTCTGCACTGACAGTTCAAGCCCGGGGCTTGCTTCAGATTCTCTCTCTCTCTCTCTCTCTCTCTCTCTCTCCCCCCCTCTCTCTCCCCCTCCCCACCCCCCCCACTGTGTGTGTCCCTCCCCTACTTGTGCGCATGTGCTCGCTCTCAAAAATAAACACTAAAAAGATATGTACATATATATTTAAATAAAGGAAAGACAAAATACCTGTTTCACTTGGAAATAAACCATTTATTAGGTGCTTTCTATAGTGAGAAGCAGTGTATATCATAATGCTTAAGAGGTGCTTAAGGATAGGTAGGGCTCTGGAACTGTCTGGATTTCTGGCTCTGAACTTAGGCAAATTACTTAACTTCTCATGGTCTAAGTCCTCATTAGTAAAATATAAATAACAATAAAAGTAACATGGGCGCCTGGGTGGCTCAGTTGGTGGTTGTAGTTGAGCATCAGACCGGCTCAGGTCATGATCTCATGGTTTGTGAGTTCAAGTCCTGTGTCAGGCTCTGTGCTGACAGCTCAGAGCCTGCAGCCTGCTTCAGATTCTATGTCTCCCTCTCAGTTCCTTCCCCTCTCGTGCGCTCGCTCTCTCTCTCTCTCTCAAAAATAAATTTAAAAAATATTTAAAAAAATTTTTTAGAAAGTACTTACCTCAGGTTTGTGAGGATTAAATATGACCCTACATGTAAAGTCTTTTTTTTTTTTTTTTTAATAATTATTTGGAGGGAAAGAACATACATATGAGGTAGGGTGGGGAAGAGAGAGAGGGAGAGAATCCCAAGTAGGCTCCACACTGTCAGTGCAAAGCCAGATGTAGGGTTTAGTCCCACAAACCTTAAGATCATGACCTGAACTGTAATTGAGAGTTGAACACCTCACCGACTGCGACACCCAGGCACACCCCTGACATGTAAAGTCTTCAGAGCACGGCCTAGCACATAATGTGGACTCAAGAATTGTTAATAATATAAGCATTTGTTATTACTACTTTTGCAGTCCTATGCTAGAAATGTTAGTAAAGTATCACATTTAAACTGAACAGTTTTTAAGGTAGCCAGTGTGGAGGAGATAAAATCTGAGACTGACATAAAACAGGTTAGTAGAAGTAAAGCATACAAATAATAAAATTTTACATGTATATGGGAGTTACCACAAGAAAACAAAGATCCAAAAGAGTGGCCAAGCCTCAGTGCTTGTATTATTAGGTGGGACATAGAGTGCCAGTTGTGAACAAGTAACTAACGTGTGTGAGGGAGAAGACAGAATTTTTAACAAAGTCTGTTTGTGCAGGTTTCTCTGGGTCCTGACTCCCCATCTCTTGATGATCAGAGTATTTCTTTCCTTCTGGGGTAAGGAGAGTATCTATCATATGAGAGGTCATTTCCTGCTTTCAGGAAAAAAAAAGAAGGCGGACATGACCTTTGTGCATCTGCTGTTATTCAGGTGCCTTTAACTCAAAATAATCAGCAGGCCAAAGTGGCAGTTTTGGAGAGGCATGTTCTGAATCTCTTCATGAGGCACAGTCTCCATTTCACACAAAAGGAAACCAAGACTCTTAAAGAGAGCTAAGTAGGGGCACCTGGGTAGCTCAGTCAGTTAAGTGTCCGACTTTGGCTCAGGTCATGATCTCACGGTTTGTGAATTTGAGGCCCACTTTGGGCTCTGTGCTGGCAGCTCCGAGCTTGGAGCCTTCTTCAGATTCTGTGTCTCCCTCTCTCTCTGCCCCTCCCCTGCTTGAGCTCTGTCTCTCTCTGTCTCTCAAAAATAAATAAACGTAAAAAAAAAAAAAATGAGAAAAAGAGAGAGAGCTAAGTAACTTCCCTAGAGTCTTAGAGTTCATAATTTGAGCCCATGTTTTCCCATAGTGCCAATAGCATGTTAGATGCTTTTTTCCATATACCATCTTCTTGTACATAATATGTACATAATATGAGAAAGAAAAAAGGAAAGAAAAGGGGAGGGTAGGGAAAAAGAGAAGAGAAGGGGAGGGAAGGAAAAAAGGAAGGAAGGAAATAAAGGAAAAGAGGGGCACCTGGGTGGCTCAGTTGTTTGAGTCTGACTTCAGGTCATGATCTCATGGTCCATGCGTTTGGGCCCCATGTCAGGCTCTGCTGACAGCCTAGAGCCTGCTTCAGATTCTGTGTCTCCCTCTCTCTCTGCCCCTTACCCGCTCACCCCTCTCTCTCTCTCTCTGTCTCTCCCTCTCTCTCTCTCAAAAGTAAACGTTAAAAAAAAAAAAAAAAGGAAAAGAAAGACAGATCATATACCAATTTACTCTTAGAGCTTTAGGGGAGAACTGTGTTTGAAGTATTGGTTGCATAGCATATCTATAGGAATTCATAGTTAAATTTGAATGTGTGTATGTTCAGAGCCTCTGACAGGCTGTGTAGGCATGACAGTTATAAATTGTGTGTGTGTGTGTGTGTGTGTGTTTGTGTGTGTGTATTGCTGTTTTTAAAACATAAGATAATCATCATATTTACCTCTGTGCCCTATGTCTGCACAGTTATGATGAATTGATTATGATGAAATTTATTTGGTCAAAAGAGGAAATTTAACAGTTCCATTTCATTCATTTCAAAACTTTTTAATCCTTTATATTTAGGTTATCTTCACTGTAATGAACACGATAGTCTGAGATTGAGGTGGCTGAGGCAGACGTTAGAATCTTTCATCCCGCAGCCTTTGATAAATGTAATTAAAGTGTCTGAATTGGATGGCAGAGAAATGGGAGATGCCCAGCCTGAAATGTTTGACAAGGTACTGTTATTACATTGTGACAAACTGATGGACTCCCAGTGATACCACTGTTCTGTTCTTTGTTGTTGTTGTTTTCCATCTGCTTCCAGACGTAGCCTGATACAATTTCTCAGTACTCTGGGAAATTTTGATAAAGTGAACAAGGAAGCAGTTTTTATTTGATGGTCAGCATGGTTCAAAGGAAGCGGTAACATTGGAGTTGGGGATTATTGAATGTTTTTTATTTCCATGTGCCTCAAAGATACTCAGGTAGAGATCATTGTTATTTGGGTCAGTGTACAAACATGTGCACTGTATTGCTTTAATTTGGTAATATTTCATAGGAGTGTATGACAGTTGAAGAAAAAGAGAACATTTCAGTAAACCAAAATTGAAGTATTAGTTCTTAAGAGTAAATGCTGAGAATTCAGAAATATAGTTATGTCTGTTTAAAATGAGTAACTTCTGTAAAAATTTTTGCTGTAGTTGCCAAGAGTATGAAATGTGAGTAGACGTTAGTCGACTTATAGTTCTCCTGTTCCGTCTCCACTCCAGAAAAACAAACACTCAAGGTGTCAAGTATTAGTGAAAAAAGGTCATGAGTAATTTACCATGTTATATTTTTGGTTTAAAAATATGTATTTATTAGCTTTTTTTTTATCATTTTACATAGCTTCTCCATGTACTTTGCATCTGAGAATATATTTTCACTACATATTTCCATTATACTGCGTATTTCCCTTTTTTTCTCTAGGTGTTAGTTGATGCTCCGTGTTCAAACGATCGAAGTTGGCTGTTCTCTTCTGATTCTCAGAAGGCAGCCTGTAGAATAAGCCAGAGGAGCAGTTTGCCTGTTCTGCAGATGCAGCTCTTGAGGTGAGGGCTATTAATACAAAAGTTTATTCTGGTTTCTAATGTGATTTAAGGAGGCATGACAAATCATGACACAGAGTAGCCCCCAAATGGAGTTTCCTGTGTAGGTGTTGGTAATTACTCCTCCAAAGTCTGTATCCAGAAAATTCTTAACCTTTTTCCTTTTAGGTCTCCTGCTCTAAGGCCTCACTACTATCCACTCAATGAAATTTGGTATTGCTGTGTATTGTCTTTTAAAGGAAACATGTAATTTTATTGTGGTTTAAAATTGTTTGCATATCTGGACCATCTCAAACCTAGGGTTCAGCACCCTGTTCTTTCATCAGGACCTGAACAGCACCCCCGTAGTAGTAGCTTGGGACCAGGATGTATTTTTTTGGTAATGGAAACATTTGTTCTGGATGAGTCAGCCTCCTGGGAAGTTGTAGTTCATTGTTAGCACTTATCTACCCTTTAAGAATTTTCCAGAAGCATATGACCACCAAGAGATACTTGGTTTTCTTCTATAAAGAGACACTGTGGGACATGCTTTCCTGATTTTAAAAGAGATTTCTACTTATACTACACTCTCAAGTAATTCTTGTTGTTTAATGCTGAACAAAAGTTCTCTGGAATATTTAAATATAGTTAAATGATGCGTTATCACTTATTATCTTTTACATGTGGAATAAGAATGATGAACATTTTGTATGCACTGCTGACGTGGTTTACTTCCAGCTTCTGATTGATACACAGTAGTGACTACAGAGTGTTACAGTCAGCTAATGTATAGTCTTGTTCTTGTACCAAGTTAAGTGCCAGCTCGTTATGGCTGTTGTAGGTAGTGCCCATGAGAGGGTTCCTGTAGACGTCACTCATCTGGCACTTCACTGTTTGTATGCTTACTGTCAGCCTTCTGTCTACTGAATTCCAAAATATTTTGAGGATTTTATGCTACTTTTCCCTTTGTACCTCTTGGGTTATTAGCTTTGGCATGTTGATCTGGCTTCTTAGTTAATTATTCCAGCTACTCTGGGCCTTATAATTATTATAACTTCTTCCTTGTAATAGACAATAAGTTTTATGAGGGCTAATTAGCATTGTGACCTCTACTTTTTTTTAAGTTGTGATTAAGCAATCAGGCTTTCTGAGAATATCATTGTTCTTTCTCTCATGAAAAATCCTCCCTTTACTTCTTTTTCTTCCTGTTCATTATCAAGCTTTTTGTGTTTTATATTCTGTCTATTGCTTTTCCTCCCAGTTTGTCTCCAAATCTATGCTTGTTAAAGTTACTAAAGACTCATTAAATGGATAGATATTTTTCAATTATACTTGATCTCTTGATAGCATTTCTATAATGTATTTTATTACACAACTATTAAATGGAAACATTTTCATTGTAAACAAACTCAAATAATAAAAATGAAGAAAAAGTCCCCTTGGACATGGAGCCAATCAAATACCAGCCTTTTTCACTGAAAGTTAACTGTTGGACTTAAGTTTGGGGTGCACTTTTCCAAACTTGTTCTGTAGCTAGTTTTAAAATTATATGTGCATAGAGAAACACATTAAAAATAACTGCTATTATTGTGTCTATATTGTTCTGAAACTTGCTTTTTTATACTTAATTTTTCCTAGTTTTTTCCTTGTAGAATTACTTTGTTCTCTTCAGTTTTTGTGAAATATTAAATAGGGTCAGTCTATCCTATTCTATTTAATCTTCTGTTTTTGGATGTTTACATTATTTCCTTTTTTTTTTTTTTACTTCTTTTAAAATGTTTATTTTTGAGAGAGAGAAAGACAGAATGTAGAGGAGGGGGACAGAGAAAGAGAGAGAGAGAAGGAGACACAGATTCTGAAGTAGGCTCCAGGCTCTGGGCTATCAGCATAGAGCCCAACATGGGGCTCAAACTCAGTAGTCGCTAGATCATGACCCCAGCCGAAGTTGGATGCTTAACTGACTGAGACACCCAAGTGCCCTGCCTCTCCCCGCCTCCTTTTTTTTTTTCTTAACTTTTATAAACCATCCTAAAATTGGACATGCATGCTAACATTTTCCTTGGTTAAATATCAAGAAATGGAATTGAGGATCAAATATTTTAGATGTATTGAACTGTTCTCTAAAATGATTGTGTCAGTTTATACTTTCTGTTACCTTGTTCCCTCTTAAAATATTCTCTTTCCTTGATTTTTATGATCATATGCTTTCCTGGTTTTCCTCCTACTTATTTTCTTAATTTTTAATTTACTCTTATTCAGCTCATTCCATAATTTCTGTGTTTCCTTCCACTGCTGATGTTGGTTTTCTTCTCTGTTTATCTGATCTCTGCAACTGATGTAAGATGCTATCTCCCAAGTATGTATCTAAGCTCAGATCTTTCTCCTTTCCTCCAGACCTGTACATTCAGTTATCTATCAGATATCTCCATTTGGAAGACCCTCAGACACATAACTCAGTTTGTCAAGAGGGAACTCATAATTTCTTTACAGTACTTTACTGCCTCCACCCCAAATCAACAAAATAAAAAATCAAATAGAAACCCCACCAACCTTTTTTCTCTCTTCTGTATCTCAGTAATTTCCATACCTTCATACATTTACCCAAGTCAAAAATCCATCTCCAACTCCCCTTTCTTTTATAGTCAGTCAATTGCTAAGGTGTTTCAGTTGTACCTGTTACATATTTTTCAAGTCCATCCAATTCTAGTCATCCTTAATAGCCTAACCTAAGCCACCAGCATCTGTAATCTGAATCCTTGCAACAGGCTTCTAACTGCCCTGCCCATTTCCAGGTGTGAGCTCTACTACTTCACTCTTCACAGTAAAGCAAATCTGATCTGAAATATAAATCTGATTATGTCCTTCACTTTTTTTTAAGTTTGTTTATTTATTTTGAGAGAGAGACAGTGCCAGCAGGGGAGAAGCAGAGAGAAGGAGGGAGAGAGAATCCCAAGCAGGCTTCATGCCGTCGGCACAGGGCCCAATGTGGGGCTTGAACTCAGGAACCGTGAGATCATGACCTGAGCCAAAACCAACAGTGCCACCCAGGCGCTCCTGTAATTGTCCTTTTTAAAGTCCTATACTGGTTCACCATTAGCATTAAGATTTCACATTCCTTAGTTTGATATTCAAGTTGTCTTTGGGTATGGGTCCTTCTTACTTCATTTGCTATATCTCCCTAGGATTCTTCTTGCATTGTTTTCCCCCCTGAGCAGTTCCTCAAACTCACCTTACAGTGTCAATACTGAGACCAGTGCATTTCCTTTTCCTTTTGGTGGAGAGTTCTTCTTACTCACCCTCCACTTTTTCTTGGCTAGCTCTGGGTTCTTGAGGAGTTAGCTCTGACATTTTATTAAGCCTTACCTGACTCCCTAGGACTGGGATCGATATTCCCTTCATGTCCCTACTTCATTTAAAACATGCATTGATTGTCAGTGCCTTTGCTTAACATTTGCCTGGTACTTATCTCCTTTCAACAAGACTATTGAAAGCTCCTTGGGGACAGGCGTAGCCTTACTGTTTTTACTCCTAATACATAATTTGGTGTCTGGTATGTAGAATGAGGTCAGTAACTAATTGTTTAAAAACACTAAATTATAAGAGCTGACTATTTAAAATTTAAACCTGTAATTAAATTTATAGCAAAGTTAATCTGCCAAAAATGATATAATCACTATTGTGCTACATAGTAGTTAGGCACAAAGTACTACCACACTTTATTTTGATTAGTATTGCTTGTTTTAGTTTCAGTTTAGTTTTCTCCCCCAATTGATATATTTCTCTTAACATCATATAGCAGTACAGTCATCATGAAGGTCCTGCATTTATATAAACCTCACATAGGTACCTTCTTATGCCTTGACAACTAAGCTTCTTCCTTAGTGACCCCTCTTCTCTCCCATCATCTTATTCTCCAGAAGGAATGGCTTTAGAACTACATCATTTTAGTAGCATATTGACGAGGAACAAAACTAACCTCTCAATCACTACAGATGTATATTTCCATGTAATTATATGGGGAGCACCATCATACCAGCCATCTCCTATTCTTTTCCTTGAACACCTACTCTGCATTTCCTGTCCCTGATGCTTAGTCTGTGTGAGAGCTTTGAAAGCCACTTAAAGTAGTTGAAACTTTGGGTCCCTTGGCTGTATGATCAGGATGATAATGGGGAAAGAGTGAGATACCCAAGCTCTAGGTTCAGAAAGTAGTTCTAATTCCCTGACATCTACAAGTCTGGGGCGGGGGATTAAAAAGATAAAGGAAAAACTGATAATGCCAGCCACAGTTTCTCTTTTATCTCCTGCCCCTGACTCCAGAAAATGAATTGTGTGTGTGTGTGTGTATACATACATATGTAGTAATTTTCTCATAGCTCTATCACTATACCACATGCAAAGAAGTTTCTTACTTTCTTCCAAATCTTTTTCACCTAATTATTGCCTTACCTCCCTTTAACAAAAGGTAATCCTTTTATTCCACCATAAGAAATAAAAGGTTTCAAATTCAAACATATGCAAGAGATTATATATATTGATGTGTGAATTTTAGTCAAAAGTATAAAGGATTGATAGTAGATCCTTATTTACATTTGCAAAGAGCAATTAGAAAGCAAGCAAGCAAATATTGCCTCGCCTGATATTGTGGACTGAAGATGACACTCAGGAGGGAGAAAACGAGTGGAGAGGATAATTGAGAGGCAGATAAGGAAAACTTTTTGTACTGTTTTGTTGAAGACTAGACTTGTATTTGCATTTGTCAGCTGACTGATTATGGTACACAAAGATACTTTATGCTCTTTATGGCTGTATATTCATTTACCTTATCAGCAATCATTCATATTTATATTAAATAGGTCATCTACATAGTGTTTACAGTTTTAGCTTTTGAAAACACAATACTCTGTAGCCAAATATTAATCTTACATGTTTTTATGAATGTGATACCTAAATTAAAATTGGCACTTTTTAAAAAATTTTTAATGTTTATTTATTTTTGAGAGAGACAGAGAGTGAGCAGGCGA